GGAAGAGCGGGGAGTAAGCGCTGGGCCGTCGGCGGCTCTCCCCCCCGGGCCCACCCGCCGATGGGAACGCAACTGGGCTCAAAGGAGGCACCTTTCAGATGCTGAAAGCAGAGGCCGCTAAGCTCCCGCCGGGGACCAAACGGCTCGGCCTTGCGAGGCGGAAACAGCCGGAAGGCCTCGATCGCTGACGTCCCACTCACCCGTCTCGGCCCCCTCGTACAGCCTGCCCAGGAGGCGGTGCAGGGTGGCCACCAGAGAATGTGCTTGCTGCTCCCACGACTCCCGGTACTTGAGCCCCTGTGCGAATCCTGCGCCCAGGGAAGGCAGGAGCGCGTAGCACTCGCAGGCCAACTTGGGGGGGGGGGAGGAAAACGGCAGGGGTGGCGTGAGAAGCCGAGGGGCAGAGAATGGACTCTTCCCACCACCGCTGCCCAAGAATCCCAGCACAGCACCAGGCGCCGTGTTGAGGACTAGCGCCGTTTGGCCTCACAAGCTGAAGGTGGCCAACAGCTGACTACAATTGAAGGGGGGAGGAAAAGGAAGTGCAACGCTAAAACTTTGCACTGACTTCAAAAAAAAAACACATTGTTTTATAAGTGTTCCCATAGAAGCATGATACCTATTGGAAAAAGAATGTGTCAAATGTTTAAGACTGAAATGAATATTAATTTTAATGATAGAGTTTGATTGCTATGGATTATTGTTTTAATGACATTATAAACTTATAATTTTTTTTTAAAATATAGTACGCAGCTTTAGAACGTACTAAGCAGAATCCGAATGAAAATGATGTATTGTTTTAAGTGTTCAATTTAAGGGAAAGACATAAAGGCGTCATGCTCCTAATTATAGTTATCTCGCAAAGTATGAATGAAAAAAATTATAGTCAAATAATTAATAGTGATACTAGGGTACTCAATTTTTGATTGACAATATGAGTTATTATGCAACGTAACTGTAATTGAGACTATGAAACGGATGCGCAAAAAACTTGTAAGCCAACCGACACACTGCTTGTACATTTATGAAAGAAAGCTGGATGTTTTTATGTTTTGTCTTTAAAAATCAATAAAATTGTTTTTTAAAAAATAAAATAAAGGCGTCATACTCCAATCAGCAATTACAGGAGAAAATTTTGTGTTAATGAGAAAAGAGAATAGACCACTGGAACAGAACAGAACAAAGGACAGAAGGATAATGATTTAAACGGAGAGGAAATAAATAAAACAGAATTAAGAGAGTGAAAAGAGAGGAGAAGCTATATAGAAAATGTAGAATGGTAGATAAAGATATTAAATAGTATATCAAAGGGAGCGTGAATTTGATTTCACGTCTGTACAAAAAGATGTCACCTGGGACTAAGCTGCTTTCCAAAAAGAGGTTTTATGGTTTCATGTTTTGTTGGTGCATGTTTATTGAAAATTAATAAAATTCTTAAAATAAATAAATAAAACCATTGCCACCCCACAGAACCAAACCGGTCCCCACCGGGCCGAGCGTTTACCTGCTGCAGGTGAGGCGTTTCGACATCCATGCAAGACAGGAAATAGGTGGCCAATTTGCCCGGGGGGGGGGGGGGGTGAAAAAAAAAGGCGGCCAGTGAGCAAGCGAAGGTCGGAGCAGCAGCGGCTGTGCCCCCACGTCCGTCCTACTCCGCGCCCCCCGGGGCAACTTACTCGCAAGGAGCCACAGGCTCGGGGATAAAAGCTCATGCACGCCTGGCATCCTTCCAGGACGGGCAGCTGGCACTGGGGGGCAAAAAAGGGAGGGAGAGGAAAGGAAGAGGTCAGCCTGGAGGGGAGAGGGGGGGCCACCACCACCCCCGGGGTTTGGGAGGGGGGGGGGTGGGGGGTCTCACCTCCGGTTTGAGGGCCAGCAAGGAGGTGAGGAGTCCGGGAATGTGGTTGGTGCCGATGTCCCGGGCCACTTCGGGCAGCTGGGCGGAATAGCGTAAGAGATCCCGGAGAACCGGGACGGCCAGCTCCATGGTGGCAGGCGGATCCTGGGACTTGGGGGTGGGGGGGGGGGGGGGGGGGGGAAGGAAAGGGAGGGGGGGGGGGGAGGGCCCCCGGGTCGGGGGGGGGGGGGGCGGGGGACGGGGGAGGCTCCCCCCAAACTCACCTGGAGCAGGTGCTGGAGGCTGCGCAGCCACCCCAGGCAGTTCTGGGCGAAGGTCTCCGCGCCGCTCTCCGTCACCAGCAGCGACAGCAGGCAGAGGCCCTCAAACCTGACCGGGAGAGCAGAAAAGTCAGCCGGCC